ATTTATTTGATCAAAAAGAGCTTAATATGAGGCAGCGACGATGGATGGAATTTCTAAAGGATTATGACTTTGAATTACATTACCATCCGGGTAAGGCTAACGTGGTAGCTGATGCCTTAAGTAGAAAGACTATTCATGCTGCACATTTGATGGTTCATGAATATCATTTATGGAACAGTTTTCATGATGTTCCAGTAGATGTGATTGAACATCAAATGGCCGCACTCCAGGTAGCAGACTTTGAGAGCAAATTCTGGGAAGATCTCAGAGTCTCACAGCAAAGTGATGACTACTTAAGGAATATAAGGAAGGAGATAGTGGTAGGTAAGGCCCCAAATTTTACCATCTCTGAGGACACAGTGATGAAGTATAAAGGTAGAGTTTGTGTACCTAATGATCCAAGATTGAGGAATATCCTTTTAGAAGAAGCTCATAGGAGCAAATATACAATTCATCCTGGTATAACTAAAATGTACCATGATTTGAAGCGAGGTTGGTGGTGGCCAGGAATGAAGAAAGATGTAACTGAATTTGTTTCTAGATGTTTAACGTGTCAGAAGATAAAGATAGAACATCAGAAGCCAGCTGGAACACTGCAACCGTTAGATATTCCAAAGTGGAAATGGGATGATATTTCTATGGATTTCATCACTGGACTGCCAAGAACACCCTCGAGTAAGGATGCTATTTGGGTGATAGTAGACCGACTCACCAAATCAGCTCACTTTTTGGCGATCAAGTTTACCTCTACATTAGAGAAATTTGCTGAGATATACATTAAGGAGATAGTTAGACTTCATGGTATACCCTCTAGAATTGTGTCAGATCGTGACCCAAGGTTCACTTCAAACTTTTGGGGTGCGCTACAGAAGGCTATGGGTACCAGACTGAGTTTTAGCACCGCATACCACCCCCAAACAGATGGACAAACAGAGAGGACGATCCAAAATTTGGAGGACATGTTGAGAGCTTGTGCCATTGAACTACCAGGTAGTTGGGATAATCATTTGCCATTAGCTGAATTTGCTTATAATAACAGCTATCATTCTAGTATTGGGATGGCGCCTTATGAGGCCTTGTATGGAAGGAAGTGTAGATCGCCTTTATGTTGGACAGAATTAAGTGAGAGGAGTATCATTGGTCCAGAAATTGTAGAGCAAACCACCCAGAAGATTGCAATGATTAAGCAAAAATTGCTAACCGCTCAGAGCCGACAGAAGAGCTATGCTGATAAGAGGAGACGGCCGTTAGAGTTTGAAGTAGGAGATCATGTATTTTTGAAGGTTTCTCCAGTGACAGGCATTGGTAGATCCATTAAGGCAAAGAAATTGACACCTAGATTTATGGGCCCGTATGAGATCTTGGAGCGAATTGGATCTACTGCATATAGAGTTGCATTACCTCCACAGATTGCAGGTATCCATAATGTGTTCCACGTATCACAGTTGAAGAAGTACAACCCGGATCCCTCCCATGTTATTGAACCTGAAGAAGTAGAATTGAGGGAGAATTTGACCTTTAGATCCGAACCGGAGCGAATTGAGGACTTTAAGGACAAACAACTACGCAATAAGACCATCCGACTCGTGAAGGTGATTTGGAAGGGTGGAGCCCTAGGTGATGCTACTTGGGAGACCGAGGAGAGTATGAGGCGAGATTATCCACATTTATTTGCTTAGGTACATAGTTTCTAAGCTTATCTATTAAATTTTGAGGACAAAATTTCTAAAAGGAGGGGAGAATTGTAACATCCTGATTTTTATATAATAAAGAAATTGTGGAATTTAGGTTTTGAGGAAAAAAATGATAATAATAGGAATTTATATTATTTGAGGTTATTTAGAAATAATATTATGATTAGGTATTTAATTATGAATTTAAAAATTTAAATTTAAAACCACATAAGCAATATTTAGTTAAGATATAATACATAAATAATTTTTTTTTATGTGTGTGTTAAAAAAAAAAAGAGAAGGTAGAAGGAACAAAAAAAAAGGGGGGGTGGAAGGTTATTGTTTCTAAGTCCCACATTGGTTAGATGAGGGAAGAGAAGAGGTGCCTTCATGTATAAAAAGGAGGGCTGTTACATAAAAGGCGCCTTTTATGTAACAGCCCTCCTGGGTCACCACTGCCTCTCCAGGGTCTTTTCCCAGGCGCTGGACAACACACATGTCACCACATGATTGCCGGCTTTCCCACTGGTGGTACAGTGGTTATTCCTCACCCCACCCTCACGGGGGTCTTTTGGAACCTCCCCAGACTCGAACCTCCAACCTCTACCACCTTAACAAAGTTGAGGCTAAGTCTGGTACCATTGAGACTCAATGGTACCAGACTTAGCCTCAACTTTGTTAAGGTGGTAGAGGTTGGAGGTTCGAGTCTGGGGAGGTTCCAAAAGACCCCCGTGAGGGTGGGGTGAGGAATAACCACTGTACCACCAGTGGGAAAGCCGGCAATCATGTGGTGACATGTGTGTTGTCCAGCGCCTGGGAAAAGACCCTGGAGAGGCAGTGGTGACCCAGGAGGGCTGTTACACTTTTTTAATATTTTAGTAATTTAGACTCAACAAAATGGATAAATTAGGCAGGTCATGCATAACACAATGTCCACTATACACAAAACAATGCTCACACATGCTCAACTAAAAGTTCATACCTTTCAATGAAATTTTAATAGATATTGTGTGCACAATACAATATTCATTATGCATAAGACGATGCATCAACACCATGAATATCACAAACGACTTCGCCAATGATGTCAAGAACAAAGACAAATCCATATTAAAGGCCTTAATTCACTTTCTTTAACGGGACGATTCAAACATAGGTCATCGAGTAAGAAATCAATCACAAGTGGCGAAGAAGCAGCACTTTCCTAGAGACAAACTAGAAGGAAAAAAAAAATATACGATTGAATGTGGATAAGCAATGTAGTTGTTGTGGGATGGTATAGCCTTTTAAGTTTGAGAACTCTATTTTGATGCGTTTTTTAGGAAATCCTCCGTGCTTGCACCTTTTTTAGTTTCCAAATCTAATACCAAGAGAGAGAAAGAGTGTGCATGCGTGAGATAGTGAGCGTGAAATATGGATTGGAAAGCGCAAAATTATATTTTTAATCTTAAAAAAATTGCAATAAGGGCCCAAGACCTGCAGTGCAACATCATATTTTTTTTTCAAGCCTAAAGTACAATAATGTGTTTTTTAGGGCTCCTAATGCGATTTTTCCTTTATAAAATTGATAAATGAGCAAATTACTTTCTAAACTTTAGATTCAATGGCACCATGTACTTTGAACTTATTTATTGTATAAATTATTTTTTCAACTTTTAAAAATGATGCATTCTAATTCTTGCCATTAACATAAGTTCACTTTAACAATTAGTTAACTAGAAAATTACATAAAAGGGCATTAAAAATTATAAAAAATGACAAAAATAATTTTGATCCTTTTTCTGTAATTTTCTAGGTCATTGTTTGTAATTTTTGATTATTTTTTATAATTTTTATGTCATTTTTTAGTTAATTGATAGTTAAAGTTAATTTTTATTAGTAGCAGGGGTCAAATTACACCGTTTTTAAAAATTAAAAAAATAATTTATAAAATAAATAAGTTTAAAATTTATAGTGCTACAATATTTTAATGAAAAGTGAAAAGAAAAATTTATAATAAAAATTTAATGATATGTGATAAAAAATATTTTTAATTTTTATAAATAAAATTAGAGAAAGTAAGGATTAAATAAAGAAGATGATTTTATGATTCAAAAAGGGGACTAATTATGAGCGGAATAAGAGGGAAACGTGCGATCCATTATTATAAATTGGACGAGACATGACCCCACCCCGCAACAATGCTTCGTCCCCTTCACGTAACAACGAAGTCTTTCATGACCATCCACCATACTATTTATTTTCACGATTGCATATTTTTTATTTAATTAAAAACATGAACTCTACGGTCATAAAAATACGAATTTAATTATCTATAAATTCCATGCTCTATAAAAATAATAGAATAAAAAATATTTAAAAAATATGTCATAAATTTATGAATCTCGAATTCATAAGATTTAATTTCCAAAAATATGTTTATACTTTTTTTTTTTTTAGAAGAGAAGAAAAAGAAGATGGTGGTATGTTGGATACTAGAGTCTGTGACGTGGAAGGAACATGGATGTGGTTTCGTAGGAGCTTTTAGAGACAGATGGGCCTCATAGTTTGATACGCTCAGATTTAGAGACACCAACTATGACGCAGAGTTGATCCCAATATATGAATCTGATCAATTATTAAGCTCAAACAAGCAAAGCCAACGTGACGTCCACGGTCCACCAGTAGTCCGCTACCATCACGTTTCTTCCCTCTCATCTGCAGATTATTTCTTCAAGTTTATCAATTCGCAAGCACATAATGTTATCAAGTTTTACATAAAATTAACATGCATGCTGTTTTACTTTTTCGCTATACCCAGATAAGATAGAAAATAAGCGGTTTTGTATTTAAAAAGTGTCTTTTATATATAATCAAATAAAAGTAATTAATATAAAAATTAGGAATATATATATATAATGCAACCGCGCCCAAAGCCAATTCATTTCCTCACCGAAATAACTGAAGAGAATGATAGAGAATGGAGAGGGATATGATCTGCTGGTCTGTTACATTAGGATATCGTTTTTTTTTTTTTTTCTAAGCCTGACGTTGGATCCATCAAATATCTATCGAGCAATATAACTTATAAAAATATTACTGATGATCTTTGTAATTCCATGATTGGTCATGTACAAGAGAGACAAGCAGAAGAATATCAAGAAGATTCCATTTTTCCATATATATCTTCTTACCCGGAAAGTTGTGGAGGAAAAAAAAAAAAAACACATGAATTATAAAGTTTCGTCCCCATGAATTCAACATCTTTATTTCTTTCTACGCACAGAAAAAAGCGCACCAGACTTCAGAGAAATCATGCATCGTCAAAAGAATCACGCAAGTGTCAACTTGCCAGCTAACCAAGTAATTCCCATTTCCATTTCCCAACCACATACAAGGCATGAAATCAAATCTCCAGCTTTTCAGTAACGTGCCAAAAAACAAGAATCTTAAACGAAGACCATATTATCTTAAAGATTACGAGCGCATACATATCAGGGCACAATTAAGCTAGTGTTTATTATTAGTGGAATTGTAACATGTCCATGCGGAAGCTGTATACAGGCCAGTGTTCTTCCATCCAAGCCTGAGAGTGCCATCGACTTGAGCAAGAGTATAGCCATGGACATGATGAGGAGGTGAGAACATGTTCAATATCAATTGAGCTTGAGCCATAGAGTTAGGGCTCATTGGAACCTGCAGAAAACCAATCCTCGCAAGCTCACTTCTCCACTGTCTGCACTTGTCTTCTCCACTTCTTGCTGGTCCTCCTATGGCCAATATGTTATTTATCTCTCTGGACAGAAGCCCGTGTTCAACCTTGTGCCTGTTAAGGTCCTCGCTGGCCATATAAGCTCCCAGAGAATCAAACACGGTGGAATAATAGTGTAAAGACCCGACAAAACGATCCAAAAACGACCCGCCGCTTGAAACATCTTGTTCCACAAGAGTTATGATTCTCGGCTCTAGTTCTTCAAGAAGTCTCAGAGTTTTCCAGTCTGGTCCTGTGGCGTCGTACAGCGAGTGTTGCAGCCAGTGGACGGCGATTGTCTCGCCGGGTCTTACTTGCACCTTAGAGACATCTTCGATTTCCCCGAACTTCCTCGCGATTGGTTGGAAATGAAACGACATTCCGAGCCTTTTTGCGAAGTTCGTGAGCTGCTTGCCTGTCTCGACGAGGATGTCCATTGAAGCTCCCATGCCTGTCATTCGAAGGCGTGGTCGTCCCTCCATTCTGTTGGCGAGGATGTGGAAGAAAGCCGGCCATTGAAGACCCTGCATGATGTCTAAGTCTATGATATGAATACTATCACAGCAATGCACTGCTTCAAGAATGGCTTGATTGGAAGTGAAATGTGCGAACTTGATGAAAGGCGAAATATTGTTGAACACCTGGAGCGAAGAGTGGATGCTTCTGTGGTCAATCAAAGGGGAAAATACTCCGAGCCACGAGTTCATTACTCTGCTAGTCATGGCTTTAGCGAAATACGCCACAATACGCTCTCCACAGGATGGCTTGTACGGTGAGGCCAGTTGGGTTAGCTCCACCAACATTCTGTGTGCCTCACTGAGGTTGTCTACTGAGATTGCCACTGCACACTCCATTAGAAGTGTTAAGAGGTGTAACACATCATTGCTTTGATCGTGATCTACTGATGATGGGTTCGTTTGAGTTTGAATTTGAATTTGCAGGTCATCATTGTTGAAGGGACCCTTATTCCTAGGGTATAGAACAGGTGAAACTACTGGTGTGGGTACGAGGTTGTCATGAGAAGTAGACCCTGTTTGGCAGTGGTTATAAGGATGAAGCAAGTTATGATCAGATGTGGTTTCAGCTGCGGGTAAGTCGTCCACAAGGTGTTTGGTAATATGCTCCACCCAATCTGAAAACTCGTTGGTTGCCAAGTTTACAGTACTGTTGGTGGTGGTGTCAATGGCTGGTGGCTTTGAAAATGGGATTAATATTGATGATGATGATGATGTTGCAGCTGACGAGGATAGCCCAACATTATTATTCGGATAGTCCCAAGATTCATGCACATGTGGTCTGATCATGTTGAAACAATCGCCATGAATAACCTTGAATCCCACTTTCATCATAGAACAAAAAGGTTAATTCATCGATCAGAGACATGTACACACACACACACACGGATAGGAAGAGGGAGGGTTTAATGCAGAGTCAGATGTTACTTACTATAAAAGAAGAAGCTAAGGAGACAACTTCAAAATAGAATTAAAAAAAAAAACCTGGGGGAATTTCTGGCTCATGGGAAGGCCGGCATAGCCAAGACATCTGGAAAAAGATGAGGAACTAGAAGCTAAGCATTACACGTCGGTCTGGTAGAGATTTTTGTTATAAATTAACGTCATTTGTTAATAGTGAATGATTTTTCAAGTGCGTGTTCGTCACATGAACATCAAGCTGGGCTTACAAGTTTGAGGGATGCTACAAAACTGGTGTTTTAATGTGAGGAGAGGGACGTTTTGTTTTGTCTTGACTACGTATGGCGACAGGGAAGGAGCAACTGCCACAATATTTATTATAATAAAATAATAATGATTGATGTCAATAATTCAAAAACTGATTGATAGGGAAATTGTTGCTTTTAATCGATCACATGAAGTCTATATGTTAATGCTCTCTGACTATGCAGCCAGGAACTTCAATAATTAAATTTTCCAGGTCATGGATTACGTTATGGTGATCGCGGACGACAATGCCGGTAAATGTTTTTGACGGTTGACGGGATCGTGATTCACCAGAATTGTACATTTTCAACTTTAATTTATTATTATTATTTTTGGCATTAACATTATTATTTTTATTTCTCCATTGATTCTCTTCGCTAAATTTTTATTGTAGTTTTGATTAATTTATGCTTTTAAAAACAATTAAGTTTTAGGACCCATTTGTCTAAGTTTCTTTTAAGGGAAAAAAAAACACTTTTTATTAAAAAGAGATCACTCATACAAAATTTTAAAGTGTTCGTTTGTATCAATTCATAATTGTAGAGGCTAAACTATTACGTTTTTGAAAATTGAAAAAATAATTTATATAATATATGAGTTTAAAATTTATAGTTCTGTTAACTTATAGCTTAGCAGTAATTTACTCATCTATTCATTTTGAAATAGAATATATCGAAATATTTTATCTATACTGTTTGTCTGTTTCAGCATTTAGATTACTTCTATTCCAAATATTCACAGTTTTTATAATATTTAGTTGATGCAAGAAATTTCATTAATATATATAGGCTTGAATATATAATTAATATCAGCTTATAATTGCATCCTACACACACACACATTTCATTAATATCTGGGTTATTATATAGTCATGGAGCTTTGACAGTTATATTTAATTATTACATCTCTGTTACCTGTAATGCAAATGCCTATCCAATATTTAATTTTTAAATCGAATCGATGTTTGTCTTGCCGTGAGTAATACATTAATTCAGTTTTTAAACACCCTTTTCACGTGAAAGTGATGTCTCCAGTATAGTTTATTCCAGTTAATGGTGGCAGATACCAGATAGCAACCCTCCAAATGGCTTTAATTAGTACCAAGCCACCACCCCAGCTTGATATATAAAACTCAATTCCTATTTTTAAAGCTAAATTTAAAGTACTAAAAACTCCACTAATTATTAAAACAATCAAAGCATTGTTGGCAAAAATAATAATAATAATAAAGCATTGACAGTTAATAGTATTTATTAAATTGATTAAAATATTAATCTATTTAACCGTTTAGATGAACTCAATTTTCAATAATATGATTAAATTACTTATAATAAATAGAGTTTAAGTATTATTAATTTGAATGAATAGTTTAGGTTTTAAGCATGCAACTAAAACTTTCTCGGCAGATTCACTCTATATCTGCCCATATTAAAGGGTATTACTTGCATACAAATGAAATTTGAAAAATAAAAAATCATCATTATTTTCTTATTATATTTCATCAATAAAATAACAGACTAATTAAATTAATAGCCTGTTTGGATTAGGCTACAAATTAATTATTGAACTAAAATAATCAATTTTTGCAAAATTTATCCAAACAGCCGCCAAAATTAATAATTAATTATTGAGCTAAAATTACTTTTTGAAATAAACTTTAAAACGTTGCTCATAAATTTAATTTTATTATTAAATAATATATTTTATTTTCTATATAAATTTTAACAAATTTAATAATATTAAATATAATTTTATCAATAATTTAATTTTAAAAAGTAATATCCTTTATAGTAATTTGTCCAACTAAAATTAATTTTAATATTTAAATGAATTGCATTATAATATAGTCAATTATAATTAAAATCAATGATATTAATTAATTGTTTTTATAATTAATTATATCTAATTAAATTGAAACGGGCCCTACATTATTTTCCTTAACAAGTAATTATCCTCATAAGCTTGCCGACAGACAATGTGGAGAGGTCAATTGTGGGTCAGGTGCTCAGTTTTCCTGCTCGCACGATGCAAGACACTGATAGAGATTTTGGAGGGCAGGGGAAAAAAATAATCTAAATATTGATATTTATTTATTTTATACTCATTTTTGTTTTGACGGCTTCAAAATCTTTGGGACTATTGATGACATTTTTTATTAACTAGCTGGTGGCGACATAATAAACGCTCATTTATGTTAAATTTACATATTTTAATTGTTTTTCTTTTTTGGAAAGCATGTGAAATAGATTTTATTGACATTTGACAGTAGACGCTAGAGACAGAGTTTTCCCAATATACTAAAGAAAAATGATAGATCCATTATACCACGTTAACATGAGTGGTAAGGATTTCATTGTTTAAACAAGTTGTTGCAGTTCCAATTATAGTCCCTGTATGTATATAGCACTTTAGTTGGGAAATGTATACCTTTTACCTTTTATATCTTGAAGGAGATAATTTCTGTCATAGGCAGAATATACTCATGCCACCAAAAAGAAAAAAAATAATAATAATAGATCCATTGTAAGACATATGAGGGTTGGAATTCAAACTCATATTTATTTTAATTTTGAACAATGAATAAAATAGTGGGACTAATTGAATCTAGAGATAGAAATAGGCTAGACTGAATTAGACTTTAGTTAAATTGGTCTGAGTTTGTGTGGTAAATGAAAAGCCTGCTGGCCTGAAGTCTATATAAAATTTTTTTCTGAAGCTATATAAGATTTTTTTCAAAACTCAAGGCTGAGTCTACTTAAAATTTGATTTGACTTAAAAACCTATTTAAAAGTAAGTCTTTTAAATAGACTTGTATTTTAGTTTTAAATGTTTCAAATATACTTTAGAACATTATAGATCTGATTTATCAATTACAATATATATATAATAATTGAAAAGATTTACCAATTACAATACAATATAATAATAAAGTAATAACATTAAAATTAATATTAAGTCCAATATGATTGAAAATATAACTAAAAATAAAAAAATAAATTGATTAAAAATCAAATGGTGAAACTTATGTATTTGTGATATATTATATTGTGTGTGTGTAAATAAGTCGGCCTGTTAAACTTATAAGTTAGGCTTTAAAAAAATAAGTTTGGCCTATTTAATTAAATAGGTTTAATTAAAAAGTTTGAATTTAACTTGAGTCTATTTAGTAAATAGATTATGCTGAACTTGAAATAGGTCAAGCTATATGTTTTTATTAGAGGCCTGATTTATTCTCACCCTAATTGAATCCCAAAGCAAATTGTTTTGTGAAGAGGGCAAGTGTTGAAAAGCAGCTTAAAAACTGCAATTTCGTCCCAGAAGAATAGCTTAAAAGACTGAAACTGGTTGTTTTTTTAGGTCCAGTCAATTACATGAAAATTTATACTCAGGTAGCATTCATTTGAAAATCAAGTAGTTAATGAACGTGTTTATCCAATTCGCTTGCTTTTCCCACTTACAAAATTATTTTTAAAGAAGGAAATCTTATAATTGATCTTATTTTTTATTTCAATTCAAGAGAGCAATATCCGCAAAACCGAACAGGAATCCAAGGCAATGCAAGCCCTGAGACTTAAGCAGCCGAATATTCCATGAGGAATACCATACTATCACTTTTTGCAGTCTACATCATCAACGTCATGCAAACGTCACCCACACAGTCCTCTCTGCTTTGCCTGCCTATGTTTTAACCCTTTTTTTTTTTAAGGCTAATAATAATTGATCACACGCTGGAGAAAAGGACTCTGGAGTTAGGAAAATAATTCGACTATATGCTCCAAAATAAGCATCGGGTCAACGTAGAACCTTCTTATTAGTTGATATTACGCAATAACAAGTTGTTTAAAGGCGAATGGATCTAACAGGCAGAAACGGCCTAATATGATCACAAGTGTCACCTAGATAGCATTCCAATCCGGACTGGGCTGAACCAATGCTAAGTTGCTAACTAAACTTCGCATGAGTGAGACAAAACGGCCACCTAGAAAATAATCGAAAGAATGAATTTATATATGTAGCTTGCATATAAGTGACATACTCTCTTATCTTATTTATAAATTATCTTTATTAACCTCATCAATACTAATACAACAAAAATATGGAAAAATAAGAATGAGTAAAATTTCAAATATAACCCATCAAATGAAAAACAAAAAGTAAACAAATAATATAATACTATTTTTTCCATCTCCCTCTCTTACTTTTTAAAGGTAATTTGAGGATTTTAATTTAAAATAAAATTATTCCATCAACTAGTGACTTATAAAGAAATCAAATTATACTTTTAAAAGGTGACTAATATGCAGAAACGAAGGAGTACTTGAATAATATAGTAATACTACATGCAAGTATATTGAGTAACCGTATGCTACAAAAATTTAGCTCTTTTGACCAAAGACATTATAAGACAAACATGATTCTTTTCAAAAAAAAAAATTTAATAAATAAAACTAATCAGGAAGAGTTTGCTAAAATATGTTTCACAAACCAAGTCAATCGAAAGATTCTTAATTTGACAAATTCAGTAATCTTTCTTCCTTTCTTTCTTTCTTTTTCTGGCCACTGATTCAACATGGGTTGAAGAGATCAAGTCAAATGCTGCTCCCACGCAAAACTTAGTAGTGCAAGTAGCGCTTTCTATCTGCCTGCCAAATAACTAGAAATGTAGCCATGAACACGTCCAAGCACAAAATAGCTTAAAAAAGTTGCATCAATGGAGCAAGTCAAAATGCTGTTAGCTGGCTTGAGTTTATGGCTCCTAAAACTGTCTGAGTGGATCCATCAAAAGATTGTTAACGTTACGAGGAGGAATAACTCTTGCCACGTTAAAGACTCTAAACCGGGTTAGTAATAAGAGCTTCTAACCTGAACCTGGTTCATTGCTTGCAGAAGGCTCAGAGGCTTCTGATGCTTCAGCGATCTCATCATCTATCATGTGCCAACCCCGTTTAGTATTTCAAACGAAACAAAGGAAAACAAGTCATAAATAAAACGACTAAAAAAAGTGCTAAAGGCTTACCAAAAAGGGACTTGATGGACGGCCTCTTAACTTTGGAGGTTTTCTTTTTCAATTCAGCTGCAAGGCAAGAGGACAGAAAAATTAGCATAACTATGAATATAAAATTCAACATCCTTAGATTAATACACGACATAATCAGCACACCAACATAAAAAAATCAGGATTTTTTTCGAGTGAAAAAAGAATTCATTCCAAAAAATCAACTGTGCATCAGGTAAGGATGGGGATTAAAAGCATCCAGCAAACATCAATGCAAAAGCAAAATAAACTAAGTGCTAGAAGGGTTTATCAAAAACTGATGAATATCCTTCACCTTAGCGGTGTGATTGGCTAAGGCAAGGACTTCATTAACAACGCAAAAAACATTGATGTTCTCTTGTTGGAATAGCCTTCTGTTTCTCCAAAAAGAAATCAGATTTTGATTTTCAACATCCCTCGCCAGTTTAGGTTCTACGCTGCCCCTTTGCAAATTCCAAAGACAAGTTACCCCACTGGTCTAAACCAAAAATTTGATATATTGTTCAGACCATCTATTTTGGACATCTGACATCTGACAAAGGATAGATTGAATAAAGGAAGTGCAAGACCGGTCTACTGTGGCAATATCTGAAAATTAACCTATTGACACATCTTTTTTAGACAAGTAACGTTTTTCTGATGTTGATGTAGAGATAGGAAAGAAGGAATACCAAATAGGGGTGCAAATCAAATTCTTTAATTAAGAGTAGATAAAGAAATTCTTTTTTTTTTTTTTGGGTTAAACAGAAGCATAGATTAGAAGGAAACTGATAAGATTTTACTTTCATTTTTGTTCACATGACAGCCTATATTCATGAAACGTTATTTGATAATTGAGAGCAAAATGAAGGAAGCCCTTTATCCCACGGTCTCCTTGAAATCTTATCCACCGTCTTCTGTCAAACCAAACAGGCTGTAACTGGATTAGGGAGCATAGCTGTCCAAACCAGAAGGCTGTTTGTACTAATTGGAGTTAACCAAACATGGGCTTTCTGGGCAGTATTGGTAAGTCAGGAATCTCCTTACACAGGAATAATAGCTGCACTAAAATGAAAAGGACCAAAGCGGAAAAGAAAAAGAAGAAGAAGATAAATGAGAAGTGTAATCAGTTGAACTGACCGTGAAATGCTTCATTAACATTACCTGTTTAATTTCCTTCAAGTCTTGACAAATACGTGCGTGCATGTGTGGTGTTTTAACGAAAATAAAACTCAATATCTATTATTGTTTCAAAAGAAAAGGAGCTATGATATATCTTACGAGCAGATCCTAAAATGGCATGATATCCGTACGAGGACGTTAAATCTAAAACAAACTACGGTTAAAGTAAGGATATGTTCTTCGAAATGAATTTTTCAGTATTTGGGGGGAAAATCTGTACTAAATAAAGACATACCTGTCAGATATGCTTAATAGTTAAAACCACAGCCAAATTATGACCTCATAGAGAAGATTATCAATAATAAACAAGTATAACATAAACTATAAGATAGAAAAAGAGATGTACCCATGCCAGCAACTTGATAGTCATTCACAATTTCAAAGTTCTTATACGTGTATCCGACAAAATTCATGTCTTTAGATGAGAGCATCTGTAAAATATTCCAATTGAAAGGAAAAGAATAATGAGGGGGGGAAAAAAAGGTACGGACAAGCCAATAGCTGAAACAAATTGAAAACTTGAATATAAAAAATTTTATCACATGGGAAGATATCACCTAAGCTAAAATGATCGTCAGAGACAATGGCTCATTAAGACAACTAACTACTGGGACTTAAAAGGACATGTTTGTTTATTTTCTTGAGCAAAAAACTTTTCACTAAAGAGCAGACAAGACTTCCCTTTCTTCCAGATCAAGCACATGTTAACAACCGTAAGTCATGGAAGCCAATGCTCAACCTAGCATAAATTATTTCCATCATTAAACTAGCAAAAGCTCAAGGCAACCCCAGTAGAAGCTTTCTAAAACTCCAAGAAAAGATACATGTTACAATCCAAAGTTTCAGCAATTATAATTGTAACATTTTGACGTGGTCCGTATTTGAAACCTAAGAAGGGACTGCCTGTTTAACACTTTGCTGGTAATTTTCAATACCAAAATTTGCCTTAAAGTGGATAGAACAAAATGAAAAAGTTTAATTTGGGAATTCCAAACAAGCTTGGTAGCCTGTGGCAGATTTACTACCATTCTCCTGCCTTCAAAAAATAGTCCCTTAAGTCTTATCTATCCAACTTTTCCAAGCTAAAACACATCCTAAGCAATGGAAGTTAGAAGGAAAATTGCTTTCCAGAAAAGAAGAACTGCACAAGAATTGACATTTAAGTGATCCAAACAATGGTATGTGATTGATTTTGCTTGTTCCTCCTTAACTTGCCAAAAGGGCCTACTAATATAACAGAAACAAAACAATTGTTCCATGAACAAATCAGCAAACAGAAAGTTGTGCTGATGTGAGATCTGCAGATAACATGGTAAAACAATTTGCAACAGCGAAGCAAACAATTTAAGTTACCTTCCTCCATGGACCACTTCTTGAAGATGGTTGACTGCAGTTGTCGGACTGCAGGTGTGAAAGGCACAATTGGTAATGAATGACACTGATGGCTTCAGAATGTGGCCATTCAAAATAAGTAAGAATTTGAAGCAGTAAAATACCTCATCAAACTTCTCAAAATTTTGAGTATCCAAGTCATCATTAACCTCAGGAATAAATGCAGCTTCCATTTGGTATAGCTTATCCCATTCAATACCTTCGAAAAATGAATGAGCCTGAAGAACAATAGAACAGGAAGTTAACCTTTATATCCATCTATAAAACGGAACAAAATCTAAGAATTTAGAATAGGACACACCATACAACACCTTTATTTCACCTGCGCCTTTTGATCCCAGCCTCTCATTCACATTACACAATAGCTTACTGATCAAATCTTTAGCTTCAGGAGATAGCATGGCTTCTTCAGGAAATTTCAAGTGAGTTTTCCAGTTTACTATCTGTGCGAAACAGGTAGCTGGGGTAAAATAGCATGCACTGCAAAATTTTAGAAAACTTTAAACTATTCAAATATAAAAGTCAAAATGTACACAAAACGTAGTAGAAAATTGTAAGGACTGAAAAGCTGCTGATGCAAGGAGGGAAGGACTCAAATGAGATAATAAACTTTGACTTGTACTTCAAATCTCAATAACATCCCGGACCTTCGGAGTCCCAATACAAGCTTTAGCAAACAAGGCACAGTAGGGTAACCCTAAGAGGACATAAATTTCATTCCTGAAAGCTTGCTTTGGAATGAGAAGAAAATGGGAAAGAAAGAAAACTAGAGGAAAAAGACATCTTTAACCCTTGTTTTACCCTAATTTCCCCCTGGAGAGGAAAAAACTAAAGGAAAAACTTTATGCAAGGAAAATGTCTTTTTCCTCAACTTTTCTCGCCTAGTTTTCTCTATTCCCTATTTTCTTCCATTCCAAATGGAGAGTAGGAGTTAAAACATTAATCCCTTACCCACCAACATTCACTCAGTTGAGGCTATATTCAGTGGCTTAGACTCATCTTACACAAGATGAATCATGTTTACTAGCCAATCGATGACAAAGCCAAAACCCAAGCAGTCTGTATAAGGAAATTAAGTATTGAGCACTCCAAGAATAAGTTATGCAGAAGGGAGACATAAAATGCTGAGTAAGAAGCAATAATTCTATTAAGGAAAGGACATAAATTTGAATTGTTAGTTCACAAGCTAAAATGACAAGAACGAATGTTCCAGCCTCATCTCTGCCGATCATAAGTCGAAATGGTTCACAAATTTCCTCTACTTAGTCTGGGAAGAAAACTTGGGTAAATTTTAACACAAAACATGCAGCAACAACAACAACAAACCTTATCCCACTAGGTAGGGTCTAATACAAAATATATGAACCAAAATTTATCAAGAACAAGCATCCTAGCCATCCAATAGACATTAGGGAAAAAATTGAAGAAAATTACAGAAGACATAAACAAATAGTTATACTGAAATTTGATCAGAAACTAATTTCATACAAATGTTCGTATCAGTTGATATTTTTTACCTTCCTGCATGTTGTCATTGGATCGTCAGAATAAAAAGGAGGATATCCTACCAACATTTCATACATAATAGCTCCAAGAGACCACCTGTGAATTTTACAAGAACCAGATTTGTGTCAATAAATTTTACAACTCTGAACTTATAATAATCTTTCCATGCAGTCCACACAAATGAATCAAAACCTGATATGCTTCATACAAATTTGAAGGATGTTAGGCTATGAGTTAACATCTTGTGAGCGTATTCTAGTGTTGGCCCTTCTTATGGTTATAGATGACACAAGGGAACCAACAATGACAATTTAGTCATCTCAATCTCTTCTCCAACTTTATCTTTACCCGTTCCCTAATCAGGTTACAGAGGAGAAAGAGAAATAGATGAAAATGTGTCTTCGATAGGAACCCCCAATTAACACAACATATGTACCACACAAAGGAAGGCAAAATAGTTGAGTGCTGATAATATGCTCCGCAACACACCCGCTACAAGTCAATCTCTCCCTTTGGATCACGTAACCAAAAGCACTCACTCAAGTACCTTACTGCAGAAACAACCACTACAAGCACAACAAAATACAACATCGTAACTTTCTAAGAGAAGCTGACTTTTCTGAGTTGGGCTCTCACTGCAAAAAAAAAAAAAAAGGGACCAAATTTTTACTTAATCCCTTCTCAGTTTTTCTGTTTATATCTCCTATCAACTACTGTTTTAATTTTTAAATGCTCCCTCCTACCTCTTCATCACTACTCCCCTATCTTCTCTATTTTCCCATCTTATTTCAACTACTCTATTAAGTTTTCCCTTAATACAGCATTATTCCATTGTTCTTAACTAGATGCTGTTGTGAACTTGAGCTGTACCTCAGGAGGACCATCAGTCTCTTGACTATAAAATAAACTTGACTCTCAAACTAAATTGCAAAGTTTTGAAAAGATCAAAAAGAATTGAATGAACAGAATATTAACAAATCAAATGCACAGAACTCACCAATCACATTCCATCCCATAACCTTTCTTCAATAGAACTTCTGGAGCAATATAATCTGGTGTACCAACAGTAGAATAAGCCTGCAACATTTACACAATTACAATAATAAGCACAATCATGGTAAAAAAGGAATATATTTATCTAAAACAAATTGAGGTAGAAGTGTGTCACCCTTTTGGTTTTTTGACATGTACATTATGAGTTAATTTTACACGCAACATCATATAAAAGAGAGAACAGCACATAAAACAGCAGCATACTTACGAGTGTCCTCCTGTTCTTTTGCCAGTGTTGCAATTGTTCTTGTTGTGTGCGATTTGAAGATCCACGTTCATCATTCTGTGTAGAACCATTCACACACTGACCTACGGAAAAGTCTTCTTCTTGAAGTATGCTGCAATCTAATGGTTTACAAAGACCAAAATCTGACAGTCTTAAATGTCCGTATCTATCCAATAACAAATTGTCAGGTTTAATATCCCTGCAACAAAAGATACTGAAAAGATCAATTTATATAGCCTAAAACTAACTAAGTTGCTTTATTGCAAACAAAAATATACAGATAAATAAATCTGACTCCATGTATCAAACAGATTAAGCATGTGATCATTTCAAATTAATGTGGATAGCAATCATGCAAACACTTGTAATTCTACACAGGGTTATGTATTTTATTTTGTGCATACCTATGGATATAATTGTGTTTATGTATAGATTCAATCGCCAAAACTGTTTCTCCAACATAAAATCTAGCCTCATCTTCAGACAAGATATCCTTTCTCATAAGTAAAGTCATCATATCCCCACCAGGTAGATACTCCATAATCAGGTACAGGTAGTCATCATCCTGGAAAGAACAGTAAAGTTTGACTATGCAATTGCTGTCAACCTCTGCAAGGAGGTTCCTTTCAGCTCTGACATGTTCTACCTGGAGATATTACAAGCTTTGGAATAAGTATTACAATCTCATTAGACTTGGACAATGAAAATGCTCTTGACCAAAACAACAAAATCAGGGCAAGACAAATAAGTGTAAACCTGGCCTCTGCGAAGCATCTCTGATTTCTTTAGCTTTTTCATCGCAAATACATGGCCTGTTGTCTTTTCCCTGCAGATTCTAACCTACACAAATTTCCATGTTTTAGGAAGCATTCAAGCTTGTAGCAGAAAACAAAAAACTTTTTATTCCAAGCATCCAATTATGTAATCAGGGATGAAGAATGAGGTGCGACATCCACAAACACAATCATATACTAATTTCAGACAAAGGGTTAACCTTTTTTTAACACACACAGACCACCCCTTTTCTATATGTCAGCACAAATAAACCAGATGTAATTGGACTTTATTTTTTTTCTTGGGGGCCATAATGGACATGAAGGAAAAGGTGAAAGTTTTATTAACAAACTGATGCAGTTAGCCCAGCCCAGCAAAGCAGCAGTGTAGTTTTTATAAAACAGGCTCCTCCTTGATTAAGACCAGAATATGAACTTCGACAGAACATCATGATTGCAAAAGGTTGGCATTTGTAGCAACTAAAAAAGTGATATGCAGTTAAGCAAAGGAGAGGTAGAATTAGCATCAAACCCTTGAATCAAAAGCACATCAAAGTTGAGGGACTAGATGTGAAAGGAAGGATGCCCACATAGATGGAGGCATGAAACAGAGAAAGAGATGTGAAAAATAGAGAGAAGGATAAAAGAAAGAGAAATAAGAGACAAATGGGTGAACAGAATCAATATTTTGACTACACATTCATGCAGCATAGACCATGTGCCCGAAAAAATTAGTGCATCCGAAGTTTGCCACATCACACAACCAAGAGTGTTGCATGGCATTGTGTCACATGCTGTATGTAACGGCATGCCAATTATAACTGTGTATTAGAGTGGAGAAAAATCAAGGAACTTGAGTTTAAATATGCATTGAGTTATTTAAAAATGCTAATTTCTACGATTCCAATTTGTATTAACTTCTATAACCCTAAAAATCATGTTAGTTTATTTCACTAATATTTGCATTAATAAGGATACTTTTAATTAAAACCAAGAAGCAAAAAAGTGAGGGTACGGAAACTTCGTTATTATTCATGGAAGAGAATAAGTGAAAATGCCAATTATCCAAACTATCACCCAAGATTATTACATCCATGTGAAAGATATAAAGAAAGAACGAAAGCGACATTGTGTCATGAATACAATGGGCTCTTTTTCTGCTTGCATTTTTCCTATTAAAACTCTCTGCTGTATACTCTAAAAGCACCTCAAGAGTACATAAGAACATATATATATTACATGATACATACATGAGTAGAGAATTACAAATTAATTTGATTCCATGCTTTAAGTAAATTACACGTATCATGCTCAAGCATGTACATACCTCTCCGAATGCACCCTTTCCAATCATAGTCAACAATTCAAAATCATCAACACCCATCTTATGCCTCTGAAGCCGCATGTATTCAGTTTCCTTTTTCTCCAAAAACTTGAAAAGGTTGTTTTGGTCTTCCTCAGAGACATCAGCATCAGCCAACTTCTTTTCCAAGATAGTTCGACTGTTATAAAAAAAATGAAACTAAACAGAAGATTAACACATATTACCACATAAACGATTTGTTTACACAACTGGCATTATACACATTAACAAGAATAGAGAGATAACTTCAGACCCACAAGATTCATACATTTACCATTTAAAAGAAAAAGAAGCATGTCCTTTTTCCATCTATATTCTTCCAAAGGACGTATGAATCCTGATATATAAAATAATAGCACGAATTACAGACAAGAGTTACAAATATAAACGGTCTCAAATGACTGATCTTAATGCAACTTGGACATAAACAATAAACACTCTTGTTCTGCATAATCATCCAAATTGAATATCCACCCAAGATGACAATCCAAACTTGCAAGCCAAAAATAGTAGTTTGGATCAAATGAAAAGCATTCTTCTTCTGCATGATCATTGCCAATTGAATTGGAAAATGTCAGATAAAGCAGTATCTCAAAATGCAACTTCTCTTGCACTATGACTTGTACAATAAAAAATATATGATGTGATAAAGATAAAGTGTTATGGTTAAAAAAATGTAAGATTCGTAGAATTAACGTGAAAAATATACAAAACGTGGGACAGATATTCATAAAAACTATCACTCTCCACCTACACCCAAAATTGAAAGAGATTTGCTCCAACTTTTTCCGATCTATTGTTTCTCACTGCTCCTATCTTAACGATGGGGCTAAATTTCAAAGTTTTTCATTCATTATACTCAAAACAGGTCACTCTGTATTCAAAAGAAGGTTAACATATGAGCCCATGCAGTCAGTTTCTAGAACTTGCAACTAATCCACATATTTTGCCCAGACGACTAAAAATGGATACTATTAAGATTCCAATATCCCTATTTTTAGCAAAACTGTGGGACTAACACAAGAAACATGTCCATCTTATAGTAAGAGATGGTTACAGCCAAAGAATGAACACTTCTACAAGCTTTTATCAAGATATGGGTGGCCATGATCATTGACAACTATTGGACCAACAAGGTGATATTTAGTTATGCATTCAAAATTTTAAAATTTAATGAAAATATTAACATTATATGTTTTGAACAAACATAGGCACATTTTGGGTAAAGATTAACCATTTGGTGAATAATATGATAATAACAGTATACGAGTATAATAAACAGAAATAGAAATTTTCTTGATAAAAAATTCTGCTGTCAAATTATTTTAGTATAACAATGACGCTCCTCGGAAGAAATGTGCAGCTTAATCTAGCATCATATGATGCAAAAGGAATGGGGAAACAAAGGAATGCAGTCCAGAAGGTAGCATTGACATGCTTAAATATTTCTTCTACTGGCTATAAGGATTCCAGAAGATGCTGGAATTTATTTATTTTTTTGAAAATTTGGAGATAAGTTACATTACTTAATGTTTTCGTACAAAAATAATTATAATAACGTCAAACCGTTTGGCATTCATGAAATAAATCATACCGCTCCTTTCTTTCCTGAAGGCTCTTCATTTGCTCCTTATAATGGTTCTCTATATACTGCTTTGCCGCCGCAACTTTCTGTTTCGTTACATTGGAAAGAGCTTCTTCATCCAGCTGTGAATCTGAATCTTCGATTCCCCCAGAACCCTCTTTCTTCTTCGAAGAAGACCTCATTTTATCCCTTGGATGAAACTTGTGAAACCAACCCCTGGCAGAATCCATATCGTTTCCCGAGCTCAGCAGGTACCTTGATGACCAAGAATCATCCTACTTTGTGCTATATACAAGCCAAGTTCCCTCTGAGAAACACTCGCTTCACATCCCAGAAAACCGAACTGCAAGAAAACTTCGTAAGAGTGAAAGTCACGCAAACAAATTTTATATTTCCATCTAAATCCCTAAAAAGAAAGTTCTGGTCTCCCTTCAAAACGTGCATGTAGCCCATGTCCCAAAATTCAAGCCAGAAGTTTCAAGCATTTTCGAAGCAAATTTCGTGTCATTGATGCCGGCAAGAAGCAGGAGTCAAAATATGTGAACCCAGAACCATTCAGAATCCAATGGCGATCACAACGACAAGGAATTACATTTCGATAACGCAAAAAAAAAAAAAATACTAATAAGGCTAAGAATTCGGATTACCGGGTAATTAGTAGTAGGCCAAAACAGATAATGATCCCGCGAAACTCTTGAAAGAGAAACGAGAAAGTTGGCAGTGAATCCAGTAATGTCGGTGTATGATGGCTTTATCTTGGTTCCGGCTGTGAGAAAATTAGACGACGATTCCGCGCGATTCTCTCGAACGGACATGGCAATGCCAGCAGCCAGTACTCTTCCCGCGGCCGTTAAATACCGGTTTTTTTTTTTTTTTCGCGGTCGAATTACCGTGTATTTTAAGATTATTTTTAACGCCTATTATAATTTGTAATTTTCAATAGTTTCAACTAAAAAAAATATCAGTTAAGAAGAAGTTTATATCAGTTAAATATTACTTATTATCAAAACTTAAATATATACTTATTGATTCGGGTAGTCTTTTATTAATAAGTATTTATTAAAATTTTAACAACACATTTTAAATTAACAATTCATTCAAGCTTTTTTCATTTATATTTTGACAATAATTAGTATTTAATTGATATAATTTTTTTTAGTGGTCCTTCATAGTTATTTTCCCTTCAAGTAATTGGCTAAGAAATACATACTTAAGAAATTTATTTATTTTGTCATTAAATTTAAATTTTTTAATGATATTGATTTAATTTTAAAAGCTTGTTGTTATCGAATCTATTTACGTATTTAACCCTCACTATATAATTTAATTTAATAGTAAAATTAAGTTAAAGGCATAATTTACATACTTAATTTAAAATATATTTTTAAAGTTAAATTCTCCAATCACCTATAGAATGCTGATAATCCTATCAATTTATAAGAATGTTTCGGAAAGATTATATTTGAATTGCTAAAATTATAATTAGACCATGATTTTTAATGACAAAATGTAACTCTTAAAATGATTTTCTGATGCCGTTTTGAAGAAGTTCATCTCGAAGGCAACATTCCATGAAGAATAATAGAGACTATCCATCCATCTATTCTATGCATTCATATAGAAGGCGTAAACTTGAAAAAGCTTGCAAATGAATAGATGAAAAGATGGTTTTAATGAGAATGGTGATAAAAAGAAGAAATCTGATCACGTGCCCAGGCGAATATAACGTGGCAGCCACTTTTACAAGTATTGGCCACCAAACCATCAAAACGAAGGATTCTGATTCGCTTGGGCTATTGAGAGACAGTTAACCCCGCTCCTGCTGGACTGCATAAAGTGGTGAATATCTTATATTAGCTTACAATTAAGTTGAGATCATCTGAATTAAGTTGCCCTGAAACAGTTCAAGCATTGCCATCAAAATGTCACCAAAATTTGTCTCCTCCTGTCTCTCCCTCCCCTTGTTTTGTATGTGGGATCATGCTTAATTATTTTATGCCCAAAATTATTGCACTCACTACTCGTTTCTTCTAAATTCAAAACAAAATAGTTGTAATTTTTCAGTCATCCTCCTCTAGTTGTTATAAAGTAATTAATGCTGGATGTTGAAGAGACGACAAAATCAAAAATTTGGTCCAGTGGAGATGATCCATGTTTTGATGAATATACAATCACACCCTAAAAAAAAAAAAAGATGGAAGAATGAAAGATTGGTTTCAACGAAATTAATTAATTCAAATTAAATTTTAAGTATCAAACTTCAAGAATTTGTAAGTTTATCTCAATTTTATAACTTTTTTATGATGAATTTGTAATTTATTTTTTAAATTTTAACATTATTTAAATTAATAGAGTAAAGGAAAACCAAGAAAAATACTCAAGAAAATTTTTAAATGGGACCTTTGATGAATAGCATGTCTAAAGAGTTTATTGTTGATAAAACACAAATGTGTAACATGATTTATGCTGTGGGTCTAGCCTAATGAGATGACACTTATTGTATCCTTCTCTAATTTACCTTTTGAACTCCTAATTTCGTTATTGACACAATATTTTTAAAGATTCAAAATTAAAACTACGGTGTCTGAATAGTCCAAATGTCTATTTATATTTTATTATGGCCTCGAACTATTTTTGTTTGATAAGCTCAAGAAGTAGAACCATTGTTTCATCAATTTAATTCTTGCCCTATTCGATTATTTAGTTCAAGCTTACTTTTATCTGCCATCTCCAACGCCCCACATGTCATAAGAGTGTCTCTAAATTGCACTTTTCAATACCGTTGCTCTCATTGGCATATAAAGAGTCTACGGTGGAAAACAAAATATCACGAAGGATCATTTCCCCATGAAAGTTTGAATACATTATTTCGGTTATTTGCAAATGACCAAAATTTAAAAAGAATTTATCTACATTTTCTCTATTTATATTTTTTTCATCTCAAAATATAAAATATTTTTTAAAAAAATTAAATATTTTAAAATATAAAACATGTTGAATAAAATAAAATTTTATTAATACTATTTCCATTATATTCTTCCTCTCTTCAATATTCTTTTACAAATTAAATAGTAAATTAAATATTTTTAAAAGTTTACTTTTATTTTAAAAACATAAAGTTATAAAATATATTTAATTAATTTTATTGATATGCATAAGTTTATCCAATAAGATTGAAGGAGTAAATGCTAAAGTTAGATAATTGAAACATAATAGAATTATTTCGCATGAGAAGGGAACCAAAAGTCCAAAACATCAGTCATAATGTAATCTAACTTTGAGAGCCTTTGATAAAAGATAAAATACCATAAAAAAAATACCCGTTCATCGATCAGAACTTCAGAAATACAGCTTAAAAAAGAGACATACTGGGATGAAGAATAGTATTTTTATAGTATAAAATTATAAATACAATTCATATAAAAAAAATAGCATAAAGAAATTACAGGATATTTCTGTCGAATCACTTGGCAACTTCCGCTAAGTACACTTGAAACAAACTCCCTCCGTTTCATCATGAGTTCCATTGTTTCTTTTGTCAGAGTACATACAAAGAAAAAATTCAAGGAATAATAAAAGCCTCACAGTTAAATTGCCCATATTAATATAATCAGAAGGCTGCCCATCCTGATGCAGTGGTCGAATCTGAAGCAGCTGTTGAGGGAAGATTCTTCTGTAACACAAAGAAGAAACACGTTTCGTTAAAAATGCTAAGGAAGAAATTATCAAGTCGAAGCTTTAGCGTACAAGGGCGCTCGTGCTTATCCAACTACGGAGGAATATATACGCATTTGCCCAAAAAAAAAAAATTAAATACAAGCAGGACAAGTCAGACTCGAGCACGAGGCACCATCACAAAAGAACATATTCAATTAATACTCTACAGACATTATCCAATGAAAAACCAAGCAATAAAGCAGAAAGAAAATGAACTAGACAGGTGCGTAAAAGCCTGCTTACAATAACAAAGTGGGTAAATTTTTCAACGCATCAAAATACCCAGTATTGTGTCTCAACTTCTCTGTTTCCATTATCAACAAGGTGTGCCTCTTTGTTACCTCACCTATCCGTTATAACTTTTAGTAGTCCACCTTCACCTGAGCAGGAAGCAGAATCATATATCTTAAATTTTCGACTTGTGAGCTTGGAAGCAATACATTTCATATTGAGGTTTTGTATCAGGTCACACAGAACACACGGCTTATTTTTGCAAAAAAGTCTCATTCAGCACAGCACTAAGGTTAATATAATGCTGTACTGCTGTGAAGGAGAAGTTGAGGTTATAAATATAATTCACAAAAATAAGAGCCAAACATCAATGCGATTCACGGCCACAAATCTAGGACTGAAAAATATATTAACTCATGCTACATCCTTATTACTCCAATGGAGAAAACAAATGAGCAAACATTGTCTAAAAAATCACTCTACCTTTAAATTAGCCTTTTAGGCTCCACCTTAAGGATAAGGATAGAAAAAAGGTAATGAACCAAAATGCTTCAGCAAATCACTTGGTTGTTCACATGGATTACCAAGAATATTTCCATTTCAAATCACTATGATCATAAAACATACTACATAAGAATCTACATTAAAACCAAGGACTTAAAAACAAGCAAAATAATCAAAATAAATTGTCACAAGCTTCATATTGTGATTAGCAAGTAAAGAAGAATCATGATTACTTTTATCAGTGCAAATATCATGACTAGAAGGAGCATATATGGCAATAGAGCAAAGTAGTATCCTAATACCTTTTGGTCAAATGAAATTTTGAATGAGAAGTAACCATGAATAAATAATTTGTTTTAACCTTGACTATGGTAATAGAAATGGAAATATAGTGCATGTAATCTTCCAGTTTTATACATAATGGCATTACTATTCGGGTCATACAGAACTATTACCTTTAATTGAGAGAGATCTAAAGAAGTGTCATTAGAATTTCTTCCACTTCCATTCATCTCCTTAAGACCAGTTATGCCACTGGTAGAAGTCAATCGAGCAGCAACAGGATCATTTGGCGGGGGAGGAAGAGGAGACCTGATTTTTCCTAAACCAGTGGGTGGGAAAGCAAGGCCCAAGGCCTTAGGCTTAGTATTTCCAGAAAGCCCAGCTGTTAAACCTGCAGCTGAAAGCATGCCAGTTCCAGTTGATGGTTTAGGCTTAACGTTAATCCGGATGGTCTCACCCTCCTATAATTTGAAACATGGAAGTCAACGTCAAACAAATGAGAGAAGAGAGATGACATAACCTGACCAAGAGGCAGAGAGATAAAACACTTGTGTTAGAGCAGAAAGTACAGGATCCTCGGTTTTAATAATTAGGGGCCGAGAGGAGGTAAAATATTCCACAGCGGAAACCACGTCAAGGGATAATAAAAAAAAAAAAAAACATCGGACATGCATCTTCAGACTCAGACAAACTCAGAGATGTTTGCATATTATGCGGGTCACAAGCAGGATGCATTCTCCACGGCTCAATGATCGGAAAATACGTGCATATTCATATATGCTCATTTGCACATGCTCGTACATTGCCACGTAAAAGCGATCCACTAAAGAAGTCGTGTAGGAACCAAGGTAAACAATGCAAGTGAAGACAAATAGCCAGAGATCCCATGATAAACCTCTGAACCCAAAAATCACAGCTGCGAATTATACGTTAGTTATTCAAGTTCAACGAATAAAGCAATCAGAGAACACACATTTCGAGATTGAAAAAAGTGTTGTAAAGCCAATAACAGTTCTTGTAGTGTACCTTCAACCTGTGATTTACAGCCGGATGAATATCAATCTGAGAC